AAACCAAATCGGCGCGGCGAATATTTCACCGTCACTTTTTTTTTTTTTTTTTCTGAGATTTTTTTTTTTTTTTTTTTTTTTTTTGACATCGTCATCTTGTGCTTTTCACAATCGTCTCCTCCTCCTCCTCCTCCTCCTCCTCTATCGTCATCATCATCATCATCACCATCCGTGTCTTCGTCGGCGATGGCAGCGCCAACGTCATCTTTTGGGCTCGCCATTTATCTTTTTTTCCCCCTTTTCTTTTTCTGCTTGGCATTCATTATCTTGCCTCCTCCCCGATCATCATCATCATCATCATCATCATCTTCAGATTTTCACTGTCATCCTTCCTCACTTTTCTTGTTTTTGTCGTCGTCCGTGTCTTCCTCCTCCATCGTCATCATCATCATCATTATCATTATCACCGCCACCTTCACATTGTCATTCACATCCTCTTCCCTCTTCCCTCTCCCCTCTTCCATCATCATCGTCATCATCATCATCATCATCCTCATCCTCATCCTCATCCTCATCCTCATCCTCATCTTTAGACTTCCACGCTCATCATTCCTCCTGTCGTCTTTCCTCCTCTTCTCCTCCTCCTCTTCTTCCTCCTCTTCCTGTTCTTCCTCCTCCTCCTCCATCATCATCATCACCATCACCATCGCCATCGTTTCCTTCGTTGGTGGATATGGCCGCGTTCCTTCGGTCCCCGTTAACCACTTGTGCTCCACGGTTCACCGGACTGTTTGCGATGACCATGTCTCTTGTGGGCAGGGGCGGTGCTTGCATGTGGGACTTGTCATCTGGGATCTGTTTTGTTGCCCCCTGTTCTGTATTATTTGGCTGGTCCCTTCCTCATTTCTTTGCCTCTTTGCCTTCTGGCTGTGTGCAAGTGGGTCGATATGACACACGGGGGTGGGGGCAGCCGCCGCTCAACCTACAAGCACGTGGGCGGCCTTGTACGCAAGAGGTTCTGAACAGGGGGATTTATAAGAAGATAAAAAACTGAATTCATTATTTCCTGTTTTTCTTCCTTTTTTTTCCTTTTTTTTCGCATTTGCGCTCTGATATTTTTGCGACAATATATATATATCGTCACAGCCTCCTGATGAGTCGGTGAAACTCCGACGAAACAGTTTGTCACAGCCCCTCGTTTGTTGTCCTCTTCTCTCTCTCTGCCTACGGTTTACCGGGCAGTTCTGTTT